CATTGCCTCAAACTCCGCCCTGCTCCTTTGGCCATCAATTTTCGATTGCAAACGGCCAATCCTTTCAACAACGTCACGCTGGCGTCGGCCTAATTCGGCGATCCTTCCAATTGTCTGCAAAACAAAGGATCGTCACATTCCAAGAAACATCAAATGCAAACCAAAAGATCATCACATTCCAAGGATAAACACTTACCAAAAAGGCCGACTGAGCAGCTAATGCTACCATTGCCAAGTCCGGCTCAACACGAAAGGTTGCCATGTCAGCCGGCTAGGAGACCGCGGCAGCCAAGCTCAATGCCACAGCTAGATCTTTCAAAGCCGATGCTACGAAGGAGATCGACATGTTTTTTATCTTTGGTTCAATGATGAAAGGAGCAACCACAACTGACTCCTCTAAGCATGGCCGCTTATCAATAGGGCCATCTTCGGAGACGTCCTTGCCCTCGCCTCGACGCTTCTTTTTTCGCCTCGATCCTCCAAAATCAGCAGCTCTTCTGTAATCGGGCGCTCGACATCCTTTTCCGTCTTGACGACGACAACCTGGGCCAATTCCTCTACAACAGTAGGTTGAACAGATTCAGTCGGAACAAATTCAGAACGGATGGCCTTGGCCTTTTTTCGGGCAGCCATGCGTTCGGCGTTCCTCTTCTGTGCCATCTGCGTAAGATTTTTCCCAGCCATATCTTCAGAGTAATCGCTGGGAAGGTCTCCCAAGTTCGAAAAAAAATCTTCAAAGGCGTCCCCTCGGCCTGATGTAGATAGAGGGTCAAAATAGTTCAATCCGACTTCCTCAAAGGCCGAATTAATCGCTTCGTCAACTTCTGCGGTTGACCGGTCCGAATCCTCGGCAATTAGTTCGGCCACTTGTTCTTCCGCGTGTTCAGAATCAAATGACTCTAAACCGGTCTGCCTCAAGTTTTTGAAGCTGGGGAAGATGAGAGCAGCAAGTTGATTGTCGCCTTGCGCGATTGGAATGTTATCTGCCATCGAGAACGTTATGTAAGTCGGCTCGTACCGCAGGAGAATGTGGGCTGCCCTCCCTTGTTTTCGAAGGTTTGGACGGTCGACGAACTGTAGTGCAGTTTTGATTTCTGCGAGCACGACGTCATCGTTTAAAACCAACACTTTCTTCAAATCGCTGCCTGCACAAACAAAACGATAAGATGAACATAGTGCCGAATAAATATACATGCAAATATGAAGACCAAAATGATCTAATCGGCCACCTGGTTCACCTTTTTTCCTCGGCACTGGGTCTAGACGATCTTCGCCTTCGTCGAACTCCCAGTTGCTACGGACAACGACCATCACGTCGTTGACACGCTTGCCAGAGCTAGTGAGCATAGTCACTAAGTGATGATCAGTATCCTTAGCTCTAAGAAAGTAGTGCCCTAGCTGGCCAGTAGATTTGGCAAGGGCGTAACAGTGCCGAATGGCAGGAATACCTAAATTGGTCCTAAGACGACGATTTAGTTCTACGATCCCCATTATCATACGAAAGAAATTGACGTTGGGTTGGGAGGGGATTAGACCCCAGTATCTAAGAACGGCCATCAAAAGTAGGTGAAGAGGAAAGCGGACTCCGCCCTCAGAAATTGATAAGAGAGGAAAGACGATTGTGCTCTCATTTTCCCTCTGCATATCAGTGATGCTGTCTGCCAAAAGTGGCAGATAAATGTCATCAGGGATGGACAAATGGCGTCGAAAATCGGAGATTCGATCCGCCGAAAGGAGCTCTTTCAGATGTTTTGCCATTCTTTTTAAGCCAAACGCAAGGATTACGGAAAGTTAAAAGCCAATAAGGAAGCGAGATCAAAAATAAAGGAGAAGAAGACTTACAGGAGATAAAGCGAGAAACGAGTTGTAGAAACCACGAAGAGATAGAGTTGCACTGGAGGGCGAGCAAGATATCTTTTGAACATTTAGGACATAAACTCGAAGAGGCAATTTCAAATCATATTAAATGGAAGCAGTGTACGAAGAGGTGGGAAAGCGTTACGATGACTAAGAAGCGTGTGCGTATTCTGACAGGCATTGGGAAGAGGGTTAACCACCGAATTTTTGACTTCTCAGGCTAAAAGCCAAACACGCCGACTAACTGATGATAGTAGGGTGTTTAGGGGGCAATTGTGGGAGCCGGATTATATAAGATCCATAGGGACGGATGAGCGTGTTCAGTTCGAAACGTAACTTGTATTCGGCATATACCCCAGCCAGTTAAGGAGCCGAATAAAAAAATCAGTATCCCAGCCAATAGAACTGACGCCAAGTAGAGGTACATGTGACGGAACAAAGATGGGCCCAGCCCAAAGGCCCAAAGAAAATATTATAAATATGGGATCATCCATCAGAGAAAGGCAGGTGAGAATTGTTGTGCTTAATTTAGAATATAAGTAATCTTGAGTGTTGAATTTTTGACTTCTCAGGCTAAAAGCCAAACACGCCGACTAACTGATGATAATAGGGTGTTTAGGGGGCAATTGTGGGAGCTGGATTATATAAGATCCATAGGGACGGATGAGTGTGTTCAGTTCGAAACGTAACTTGTATTCGGCATATACCCCAGCCAGTTAAGGAGCCGAATAAAAAAATCAGTATCCCAGCCAATAGAACTGACGCCAAGTAGAGGTACATGTGACGGAACAAAGATGGGCCCAGCCCAAAGGCCCAAAGAAAATATTATAAATATGGGATCATCCATCAGAGAAAGGCAGGTGAGAATTGTTGTGCTTAATTTAGAATATAAGTAATCTTGAGTGTTAAGACTGACTTGTCCGTCAGAGTACTAATTCCGGCACCCCCGACCGGAGTGTTTATTCCTTTTCAGGTGACTATCAGCGGATCACAAGCGTCCCCCAGGATCAGAAGAGTATTTCCAAACCACTTCTCCACAGAAGTAAATAATAAATTTGGTGATTCTTGATTGCTAATGGGTTAGGCTTTACCATTTGATTCAGAACTACATTTTTTTGAGATCAATAAGGCAGCAGATTTGGGAAAACAACTTATCAAACTATCCTAATTTGGCAACTTGGTTTGGCTTTTAACCTATTTTGAATCATATCATCTCTCTATTTTTTAACATATTTTTTCACAAAAAGCCAAACAATCAGTTTTTAACTAACTTCCCAAAAATTGTTATTTTTCTTAGGTTCAATGCAACAAAAATGCTGGAATTGATCAGAGGGAAAAGGCTAGTTTTGTGGTTGATTCAATTAACAGAAATCAATGGGAATCCATGCTATGTTTGTTAATGGGAATCTGCAGTAGATGATTCTTTTGATTCACAGGTGACCAACATCCTCATAGATTTAGTATGGAAAAGAAGCTTGGGGCTGGGTGTGAAAGTATATGAATGGAAAAAGATAGATAGAGAGAGAGAGAGAGAGAGAGAGAGAGAGAGAGAGGGAAAAATAGAGGACATGCTTGGGGTTGACGGTGATGCTCCAATAACAGACAATGATGGAGACAAAGCGACAAAGAGGAGGCGTGAGTGAGAGAGAGAGTCAGAGAGGCGTGAGTGAGAGAGGGAGACAAGTCGACCTTCGAACTAGTTTACGCGGTTTATTTTTTTCCTGACGACTTTCTATTAGTCACCAATAAGCAATAAACCCATTCTTTTCCTGACAAACTCAAAAATTTAGTCGCTAAATCGCTTAGGAATCCCTCCAAAATTCGAAATCCTTCCTCCAAAACTTTAATTACCATTGTGACTAAACTTTAGTTGCTAGAAGTAAGATAAATGTCGACTAAATTATTTTTAATAACTAAAGATTATACATTTAGAGACTAATTTTTTCTTAGTCGCCGAAAAACCTATTTCAACTAGTAAAACTCAATTAGTCTCCAAAAGCACTCGTTTGGCAAGTGATTTTTTTAGTCAAAAAGTTACTAAAAAAGCCAAAAAGTCAACAATCTATACCAAAAAGTCAAAGATTCATTTTTCTCTCTACTTTTTGCATATCTTTTCATAAAAATTCAAAAAGTCGTCACAAACATACTAGTTTTTTTTTTATATCATATTTTAGCCAAAAAGCTAAAAAGTTACTAAAAAAGCCTATTCCCAAACGAGGCCGCCAACTAAAATATTTTTTAGTAGCGAATGATTGTACATCTGGGGACCAATTTTTACTTTAGGTCGTCCAAAACCATATTTTCAACGACTAAACCTTAATTAGTCATCAAAAATAGAATACATAAATATTGTTAGTTGCGAAAGTGTGTACCTTTGGCAACCAAATTTGTTTTAGTTGGCATTTTTAGTCACCGAAAGTATATTTTCCTGTAGTGTTTGTCACCAAAAAAAAAAAAGAACGGTATATTTTTTAAAAACACATTTGTCGTTCATTTTTTGGCACTAATATAATAAATTGAATAAGTTACGATTATTAGATTAGTTTACTTTTATTTTATTTTTAAATGATATACGTGAAAGACTCTATAAAATCAATAGTTCGAATAATTAAAATAGAACGCATAATAAACTCCATGGATCCGGTCAAATGCCTTCCAATCCAAATTAGATACGCAGGAAGAAAAAGAAATTACCTCAATTTGGTCACCAATATGGACAATGAGGGCATTGGGGATTAGGGGTGTAATTTTGGCCCGGCCCAGCCCATCCGGGCTCAGGCCGGGCCCATGTCGGGCCTTGCGGGCTCCCGCCAAAAATTGGGCCAGGTCGGGCTTTGGGTGGGCTTGGGTAGGCCTAAACAATTTTTTTTAATTTTTTCTACCAAAATTTTATTATTTTCCATTAAAAATAACACTAGGCCTCGAGTGGACCGGGCTTTTGAGCGGGTCACGGGCCCGGCCAAGCTGGCCGAGCTGAGCTTCAAAACGATGGCCCAGGCCCGACCCAAGGCCTCGGGCTGGGCTTGGGCTCGAGCTTAAACGAGCCTTAATGAACCGAGCCCACCTCGGGTCGCGGACGGGCTTCAGGCCGCCCGCGGGCTACGGTCCAAAATTACACCCCTATTGGGAATGTACTTGACATCTTACCAGTGGTCACCTTTGAAGACTTGTAATCTTGGGACTTCATTTGGTACGAGAATGGTGAGTGCACACATGTCGGTGTGAGCCACCACACCAAGTGCCAATGGTGGGTAATAATTGATCTTCATAAGGTATACCACCTCATCCCCACCCAGCTCCTTGTTGAACTCATCCCTTTCTAGCCCAATCCCTAATGACAACCACTTGAACAACTTCTCCATCACCCCCCTCATTTGCTCTGCATATACCTCGTTTGCTTCCCTATCGCATTTAAAAATTAAAAAAAAAAAACATTTTAAATTATGTATACAATCACGTGATCTTTTGAAAAAATTCACAATTTTCACTTGCAGTTAGAGATATAAATAAGTTGCGAGTCGAGCCGAATGGTGGGCCATTTATGCTTAATTTAAAATTTTAACGAATTTCAAAATATGTTTAAATTTGACTTATTCATATAACAAGTAGATCTCGAATAAGTCAAACAAGAGTTGATCTCAAATAGTTTGATTTTTTTATAATGCTTATTCGTTTATCGAGTTGAATAATAGAGTTTTTCAAACTTGATTTAAAAACTTAACAAATTTAAAATTTTGTTTAATTTTTACTTGTATACATACCAAGTTAATCTTGAGCAAGTTGTAAACAAACCGAACACGAGTCGAACTTAACTAGTTTGATTTATTAACAGTCGTGCTTGCAAACCATTAATTTACAATATTTTTTTGTTTTTTTTTTGTTTTTTTATTTCATATTTCCTTTTTTTTATCTTATTGTGTCTTTTTGGCCAAATAATAGAAGCCTTCAACTCAATCACATTTACCATTTTTCTTTTAATGCCATTACGTTTTTTGAACCTAGAGATAATTGGAGAGACCAAAATATAATTTGCATATATAAAGTGTAAAAAATGATATGATAGTGACATATTATAATTATAAGGTATTGAAGTTAGTAATTTAGTTAGAAATAAAATGGCCGTAAAATGCCATGTTATTCTGCATGTTTTTTTTATATAAAAATTTTATTTGTATATCATTACGCATCATAATAATGGGTATTATATTTTTAAATAAAGAGATCACAATAACTCACATATTATTGTTTATAATAAGAAAAATTATTCGTCCCTTTAATTTTGTCCCTCCCAATTTTACCTCCACCGTTGTGAAATTAAGGAGATCAAAGATGAGAGATAAAGAAGTGTGAAATCACTTCAATGGGTCTTAGTCACGACATTATGGGTGAAATTAATGGAACAAAATTAAGAAATGTAACAAGAACTTTAACTGATTCGTTATTTTCCTTAAAAATCTAAGCGCAAATCTCATCTTGTGGAAGAAATAAGTAAAGAGATATAGAGCGAGACCCTTAAGTATCAACTTCTTTCACATTCTAAACAAATAATATTTATCATAATTATAAATAAAGAAATATTATTGTAACTAACTTTGCTGTAATAATCAATCATATCACATGGCCAACCCTAATTAAAAAGGGTGGGCAAAAAGTAATATTAACAATAATAATAAAAAGCATTGGACTATAATCAAAGCAAAATGCTACATCTAATTTTATTTTTTATTAAAATTTTCTCTCCCACATGATCTCACACATATTTAATTCTATTTTTTATTAAAATTTTCTCTCCCACATGATCTCACACGGATTTACTAAGGAAAATGATTTTTATCACTCAATATATTTCATTAATTTTTTCATCTTTTACATAAATTCACACCAGTCTACCTTGTTTTCAGTTGGAGATTAAGACTGGACCGTCCAGTCTAACCTGTGAACTATTTTTGAGTCCCGTTTTGATAATCTAAATCGTTGAATGTGTAGAACTCGTTAAGTATTTTATCTTTGTAAAATATCACGTTGATCGGATATCGATAACTATTTGGTCAGATCATTTTTATATTAAAAAAATAAACAGTAAAAAAATAAACAATTGACATAAATTTTATCCGATCAAATAGTTATAGATATTTGATCTACATAATTTTTTTATAAAAATATAATACTCGACGAATTTTATAAATTAAATCATTCAAATTATTAAAAAGATATCAAAAGATAGACTCACGAGCCAAACTGACGAGTCGAATCTTAAACTTTAATTCGAGACAACCTGGACCCAATTCACCCAATACGTATCATCGAGTGATGGTTGATGGTTATGCTGCGCGGAAGATTGTTAATGATGAAGGCGGGTCTTGCGCTGATAAGGAAGGCCTTGATGGAGACAGGAGGGGCTGAAGAGAGAATAATTTATATATATATATATATATATATTTTAGAAAATAAAAAAACAAATTACAAGTAAAATAGTATTGAGAAAATTACAAATAAATAAAATCAAGATTTAATTCTCATAACAAAAATAAGAATTAAAAATTTAAATTTTCAACACTGCTACGGAGCTCGAAAAATCAAAGGCTCGAATGGTAGTTTTAAAACTTTTTTTTTATTCTCTTACCGATAAGATAATATTTTTCGTACCATTCGAGCCATTCGAGCTTCAGTTTTTCGGGCTACGGAGCATTTTTGTTAAATTTTTTCATTTAAGGGCTAAGTTTTTGATTTATTTTCAATCCAAACTATCTACTATTTCTGTTAAGTAAAATTAAAAAAAAAAAATTTGTCATTAAACTTAATAAAAAAATATTTTATACTTTTTATATACAATTACATTAAACTTAATTTTCGTCGATTTTACTTAACGGAAATAAAATGATGGTTTAGATTAAAAATAAATGAAATATTAGAGTTTAAATTGACAAAGTTAAAATTCATGATTTATTTTGTTATAATAATCAAACTCAGGTTTTTTTTTTTCCTGTAATTTTTCTAATAGTATATTGACATCTACATTCAAGTATAATTTAAGTGTGAGAACTTGCTGTAGTTTTATTAAATTTGAAAAAAAAAGAAGAAAAAGTCATAATGTAAATTACTTGTAGAACCATTCCATTTAAAAAAATTGTCAGCAAGTATACCTATTTGTTAACATGTTTAAAATTATTCTACTTTTTTTAAATAAAAGTAAATGTCATATATATAATTATTTTAAATTTTATTAAAAAATATCTATAACATTTGTTAACAAAACTCAAAAATAAAAACTAGTCAGAATAAGTTTCATGGACTACGATTAAGACGCCGTCTACAACGTCATAGACGACATCAAATACTCGATAGTCCCTACTGAATTAATGAAGAATTTAGTAGGTTGTCAGGTAGACTTCCATATATTTGTTAAATTCCAACCATATCTTATTATTAGTGAAGAAATTCCTTATATTATATTAACTAATGGGGACAGTAGTTGGTTAGATGCAATGTCCCCAAAAATGACAGAATGGTTTGATGTAAATGTAACCATTGTCATGATTAATGAAAACTTTTATTAATTTTATTTATGAAACCACTCAAATTTTTATTTACTTACTACTCAAATTTTCCTTATCATAAACTATTACATCTTAAGTCTTATCACTATTTTTTACACTCATGATTACATTTCGTAAAATGTTAGAAAATTATGTGGGGTCCATAACAACTAATCCTTTGCAATCAACTTCCTCTTTGGTAACATCAACCTCCGAAATCGACGAACCAATATCAACATCACTAGTATCATCACCATCTCAACCTATATCAATCTTAGACAAACTCAGACGACCTATGCGTTCATGAATAACTGAACCACTTTCTCCAAAACCTCCTAACAACAAATCTTTTCGCCTCTCCGATAAACCCACAGACTTAGTTCGTGTCAGAATCGGAATGGCATTCGTTGGAGGACAATGCCAAACATACTAAATTCTTCATTAATTTGGTAGGGACTGTCGAGTATTTGATGTCGCCTATAATGTTGTAGATAGTGTCTTGATCGTAGTCCTTGAAGCTTATTCTGTCGGAGAAGTAATTGTGTCGTCCGAGACTTTTGGCCCGGGCGATTTTTCCTATTCTTGAGGGTCTTTCGAGGTATAGGAAGATTAGACGGATGGACCGCTGTTCCGGATCCTGTTATCAGAGGAGGAGGAGAGTTCTTTGTCAGTATATAAATTGTTGATATTATTTTTGTGTATCCCTAATCTAATCCAGTCGTCTTCTGTCCAAACGGAGAGACAACAATTTTGACATAACTCGTAAAGGGGGGAATATTTTATCAATAGTTTATCAACCTTAATACTCTTTTGTTTGTATCTCAACCTCAACTGAGAAAATAAATTAGGCAAAGCAAGTTCAATACAACTGAAATTACTTGTTGAAACGCCTTCAACAACACCAATTTTTATATCATCCACCTCCATTCACCTAAACATTACAAATAAAAATACATAAAATTATAATTCTAAACAGTTTTAAAGTACATTTGACTCCTTAAAGTAATTTTGCATGTTTTTCCACTAATAGTAGCAGCTACTAAATATATGACACCTTTTTGAATACTTCTAACATTTCGCAACAGCGTATCTTTATAGTTCATTCAAACATTAACTGGGAAGAACCGGTCCACAACTTCTATTCCATGACGAATGTACTCTTTGTCCTTTCCACCAACGGGCTTGAATCTCATTTTCTTTGCATCCGAAACCGGTCGGACTGGTTAGGATCAACAATCCAAGTCTTAAGATTACCCTCACCAACTCCAATAAATATTTTGTCAGGTGTGGGGACAGAATCTAACAAACTATTATCACTTATGACGAAAACAAAACATGGTGGACCATAGTTTCGTCTTTAGCATCTTGTCCCAACTGAACATTACCAATTAATTTGATACCCTTAACCACGATCTTGTCTGATTGATGGTCACATCTTTTATTACCCAACTCAATACCATTAAGAAATCTCGCCACACCTTTATTATCAAATTTAACGTCCCTTAATTGTTCATCGTACTGTTGTAATTTCCTTACTCCCCTCTTAGTCTTCTTAATATATCGGGGAATATTCTGAGCGTACCATCTGCGAACATACTGGGCCCTAAAAGGTGCACGACCATAGTAACTACGCTTATATTCTCTAGTCGCCGGTGTTCTTGACCTCCGGTATGCAAGGGGGGTCCGATATTGGCTGCTTCCTATTCCTTCCATTTTTTTATAAATAATTCCAAATCGTTTATACGAACACTTCTATAGGATCAATTACCTCTGTTAACCTTTCTGTTCAGACACCTTAGCTTTGATATTTTTTCCCTCTGCTCCTCGTACACTGGAACAAACTTTGCTGGACCTAACCGCCGGCTCTCTTCCCAAAGTCCTATTTGCCACGTCAAAAAACAATCTACACACATTTGAGTGAACTGTCTGTAATTCTATCCCAAACATACAAGTTTTTTTTACCTACCTTTTTAGCCAAATACCAAAAAGTTACTAAATTAGCCTGTTCCCAAACGAGGCCTAAGTGTTTCAAAGTACATTTTGGCATCCTTATTGCATCTTAGGCATTCCTAAATCCTAATTAAGACATAATAATGAGGACAAGGATTAGAAACACACCAAGATAGAAAATAAATGAGTTAAGCTTTTTTCGAGCGTGTGTTTCATTGTGTCTCTACTATGTGTTTGTGTAGGTCACACGCAATAGATTGTCTAATTCGTCTGCTTTCTCTGTTCTGCTATTGGAGCCATCTGTGAGTAATAACTTTATAAAGTTATGTTTAACTTTAATTATTTTTTGAATGATATGAAATGATCTGTTTTCTGAAACACTATTTTCTGTATGGATGTATGATTGTCCAGATTTCTGAAATGTATTTGCGGCATCCTTAGTATCATGTGATATTTGTTATCTGCTCTGTATACATCTCATGTAATCACGAGTCAACTGTACGTCCCATGTGATCATGGGTCAACTGTTATGGATCCTTATGAACGTCTCTATACACATGAGTCAACTGTTTACGTCCTATTTAAATAGGTCAAGTATTCTGTTTGATATAGTGGTATTAGAGCACATGTTATACCGCATACACGAGTCCATATGAGCTATAGAATGGCCTAGAAAAGAATTATGGACATTACATCTGCATGTGTGAGTGTGTGACATCATGTGAACATGTCTGAACCAATCTGAATTCTGATTACTGAATCTGTTATGGACAACATTCATCAAAACCTTTACTTTGTTATTATTCGTGTGACCAAGCTTAGAGATGATTACCTGGAGATCTGTTCTGTCAGCCAGCCACTGTGCCTCCTGAGGAGGTTCCCATTTTGAAGTGCTCAAGTGTTTATGAATCAAGTTTTTTGAGACTTTTGTATTTCTTATGTTTGTCTGAACAAGTTTTTTGTAAGTTCTGTATATGTGGGATTTGGTGACGTAAGAAAAATTTAAGGGCTAAGAAAAATTCAAGTTTTTTGTAAGTTCTGTATATGTGGGATTTGGGATTTAATTCTCATAACAAAATAAGAATTAAAAATTTAAATTTTCAACACTGCTACGGAGCTCGAAAAATCAAAGGCTCGAATGGCTCGAAATCTCGAAACGACGTCGTTTTAAATTTTTTTTTTTATTCGAGCATTCGAGCTTCAGTTTTTCGGGCTACGGAGCATTTTTGTTAAATTTTTTCATTTGAGGGCTAAGTTTTTGATTTATTTTCAATCTAAACTATCTACTATTTCTGTTAAGTAAAATTAAAAAAAAAAAATTTGTCATTAAACTTAATAAAAAAATATTTTATACTTTTTATATACAATTACATTAAACTTAATTTTCGTCGATTTTACTTAACGGAAATAAAATGATGGTTTAGATTAAAAATAAATGAAATATTAGAGTTTAAATTGACAAAGTTAAAATTCATGATTTATTTTGTTATAATAATCAAACTCAGGTTTTTTTTTTTCCTGTAATTTTTCTAATAGTATATTGACATCTACATTCAAGTATAATTTAAGTGTGAGAACTTGCTGTAGTTTTATTAAATTTGAAAAAAAAAAAAAAAAAGAAGTCATAATGTAAATTACTTGTAGAACCATTCCATTTAAAAAAATTGTCAGCAAGTATACCTATTTGTTAACATGTTTAAAATTATTCTACTTTTTTTAAATAAAAGTAAATGTCATATATATAATTATTTTAAATTTTATTAAAAAATATCTATAACATTTGTTAACAAAACTCAAAAATAAAAACTAGTCAGAATAAGTTTCATGGACTACGATTAAGACGCCGTCTACAACGTCATAGACGACATCAAATACTCGATAGTCCCTACTGAATTAATGAAGAATTTAGTAGGTTGTCAGGTAGACTTCCATATATTTGTTAAATTCCAACCATATCTTATTATTAGTGAAGAAATTCCTTATATTATATTAACTAATGGGGACAGTAGTTGGTTAGATGCAATGTCCCCAAAAATGACAGAATGGTTTGATGTAAATGTAACCATTGTCATGATTAATGAAAACTTTTATTAATTTTATTTATGAAACCACTCAAATTTTTATTTACTTACTACTCAAATTTTCCTTATCATAAACTATTACATCTTAAGTCTTATCACTATTTTTTACACTCATGATTACATTTCGTAAAATGTTAGAAAATTATGTGGGGTCCATAACAACTAATCCTTTGCAATCAACTTCCTCTTTGGTAACATCAACCTCCGAAATCGACGAACCAATATCAACATCACTAGTATCATCACCATCTCAACCTATATCAATCTTAGACAAACTCAGACGACCTATGCGTTCATGAATAACTGAACCACTTTCTCCAAAACCTCCTAACAACAAATCTTTTCGCCTCTCCGATAAACCCACAGACTTAGTTCGTGTCAGAATCGGAATGGCATTCGTTGGAGGACAATGCCAAACATACTAAATTCTTCATTAATTTGGTAGGGACTGTCGAGTATTTGATGTCGCCTATAATGTTGTAGATAGTGTCTTGATCGTAGTCCTTGAAGCTTATTCTGTCGGAGAAGTAATTGTGTCGTCCGAGACTTTTGGCCCGGGCGATTTTTCCTATTCTTGAGGGTCTTTCGAGGTATAGGAAGATTAGACGGATGGACCGCTGTTCCGGATCCTGTTATCAGAGGAGGAGGAGAGTTCTTTGTCAGTATATAAATTGTTGATATTATTTTTGTGTATCCCTAATCTAATCCAGTCGTCTTCTGTCCAAACGGAGAGACAACAATTTTGACATAACTCGTAAAGGGGGGAATATTTTATCAATAGTTTATCAACCTTAATACTCTTTTGTTTGTATCTCAACCTCAACTGAGAAAATAAATTAGGCAAAACAAGTTCAATACAACTGAAATTACTTGTTGAAACGCCTTCAACAACACCAATTTTTATATCATCCACCTCCATTCACCTAAACATTACAAATAAAAATACATAAAATTATAATTCTAAACAGTTTTAAAGTACATTTGACTCCTTAAAGTAATTTTGCATGTTTTTCCACTAATAGTAGCAGCTACTAAATATATGACACCTTTTTGAATACTTCTAACATTTCGCAACAGCGTATCTTTATAGTCCATTCAAACATTAACTGGGAAGAACCGGTCCACAACTTCTATTCCATGACGAATGTACTCTTTGTCCTTTCCACCAACGGGCTTGAATCTCATTTTCTTTGCATCCGAAACCGGTCGGACTGGTTAGGATCAACAATCCAAGTCTTAAGATTACCCTCACCAACTCCAATAAATATTTTGTCAGGTGTGGGGACAGAATCTAACAAACTATTATCACTTATGACGAAAACAAAACATGGTGGACCATAGTTTCGTCTTTAGCATCTTGTCCCAACTGAACATTACCAATTAATTTGATACCCTTAACCACGATCTTGTCTGATTGATGGTCACGTCTTTTATTACCCAACTCAATACCATTAAGAAATCTCGCCACACCTTTATTATCAAATTTAACGTCCCTTAATTGTTCATCGTACTGTTGTAATTTCCTTACTCCCCTCTTAGTCTTCTTAATATATCGGGGAATATTCTGAGCGTACCATCTGCGAACATACTGGGCCCTAAAAGGTGCACGACCATAGTAACTACGCTTATATTCTCTAGTCGCCGGTGTTCTTGACCTCCGGTATGCAAGGGGGGTCCGATATTGGCTGCTTCCTATTCCTTCCATTTTTTTATAAATAATTCCAAATCGTTTATACGAACACTTCTATAGGATCAATTACCTCTGTTAACCTTTCTGTTCAGACACCTTAGCTTTGATATTTTTTCCCTCTGCTCCTCGTACACTGGAACAAACTTTGCTGGACCTAACCGCCGGCTCTCTTCCCAAAGTCCTATTTGCCACGTCAAAAAACAATCTACACACATTTGAGTGAACTGTCTGTAATTCTCGGGATACTTTTCTTAGGAGTACAACATTGTATACAAATACAATCAACAAAAAAGAAAGATAGAAAAGGAGGGCAAAACAATGTACCAGAAAATAATTGCACCACAATAGCTATCCCACTGCAAAAGCATATTCCTCTCTGCCATCAAATGTTTTCCAATACCAAATAAATAGCCAAAGCAGCCCCCGTATAAGGACGAAGATTCCCCATTCAAAATAATTCAAAAACATTATCATTTTCCCGCCTTTGCTTTATGTCAATTATTCTGTAAAAATCTTTACTTTACAACCACGCAAACCACCAGAAATGCGACACGTCTATCGCACTATCCGGCAAAGGAATCAAAAGTACTCACACCACTCACACTTGGGCCCGGGTGTGACTTCTTTTTAACCCCATCCATATACGTGTCCACAAGTACAACAATGGACGGCCCAGATTAGCGCCGGGCAGGGGACTGGTAATATTAATACAGCGCTCCCCCAGTCACACCACTCACACAATTCACACTAGGTTTTTTAATTAATAGGGAGGCCTTGTACGACTAGTATGAGTTCACTGTTTACCACTACAAAATGTCTCGCCAATCCTCTTTCTGTTTCTATGCCAAGAATGTTTTCTTTACCTACCTACAATGCCCATGCCCAAAAGAACAGCTCTTAGAACTCCTTCAATCCCTTCTCCAACTAGCCTGTCAGCCATACTACATACTTGTCGCAAGGGGGCTCCACAAAGATAGAAACCCTCACCTTTATGCCATGGTTCAATGCACAAAGAAAATCCAAACTACCAACCCGAGGTTTTTCGATCTCACCGGAACCAACGACAGAATCTATCATCCAAATATAGAAAAACTCCACTCTCCTACAGTAAGGCGACAGTATATGCAGAAAGGGGGGAGTTCGTCGAATGGAGAGAATTTTCATCTAAGGGGAAAGGTCTTTCAAAGAACATAGACGAACTCTAGTGGGAGATACTTGCAGAAGCATGAACGGAAGAACAATTCTTTGCACTTAGCAAAGAAAGATGTCTCACTGATTACGTCACAAAATACCCCCGATTAAAAATATTTTCGAGAGATCATTGCAAACGACAGATGCGTCTATATACTAGCCCTTTAATTCATTTCCTTTTCTAAATGATGTAAAAAATTGGGCAGAAAATAATATTTTGTATGTAAGTCGAAATTTCGTACAATACAAGTTATGTCAAAATTGTTGTCTCTCCGTTTGAACGGAAGACGACTGGATTAGATTAAGGATACACAAAAATAATATCAACAATTTATATACTGACGAAGAACTCTCATCCTTCTCTAATAATAGGATCTGGAACAGCGGCCTGTCCGCCCAATCTCCCTTTACCTTGAAGGACCCTCAAGAACAGGAAAAACTGCCTAGGCCAGAAGTCTCGGACAACACAATTACTTCTTCGACAGAATAATCTTCAAGGACTACGATCAAGACACCGTCTACAACGTCATAGACGACATCAAATACTCGACAGTCTCTATCGAATTAATGAAGAATTTAGTAGGTTGCCAGAGAGACTTCCACGTATTTGTTAAATTCCAACCAGATCTCACTATTAGAGGAGGAATTCCTTGTATTATATTAACTGATGGGGATAGTAGTTGGTTAGATGTAATGTCCCAAAAAATGAGAGAATGGTTTGATGTAAATGTAACCGCTGTCGTGATTAATGAAAAATTTTATTAATTTTATTTATGAAACCACTCAAATTTTTATTTACTTACTACATTTTCCTTATCATCAACTATTATATCTTGAGTCTCATCACTATTTTTTAACTCATGATTACATTTCATAAAACGTTAGAAAATTCTGCGAGGTCCATAACAACTGATCTTCTATGATCAACTTCCTCTTTGGTAACACCAACCCCCGAAATCGATGGACCAAGATCAACATCACTAGTATCATCATCACCTGGACGTACATCAATCTTAGACAAACTCAGATGACCTCTGCATTTATGAATAACTGAACCACTTTCTCCAAAAGCTCCTAACAACAAATCTTTTCTCCTCTCCGGTAAACCCACAGACTTAGTCCGTGTCAGAATCGGAGTGTCCTTCGTTAGAGGACATTGCCAAACATCAATATTTTCATTAGTATATTTTTTAGATAACACAACAATAGATGGGGCCCTTATTTGCGAATCTTTTGGCATGTCATTTTCATTAGTATTTTTTTTTTTAGTCATTGTGTGTTGGTAATGCTTGAAAGAACAGGATCTAGAATGGTTCTTTCCAGGGTGTTGCATATCATTTATCAACTATATATTTTAGTCAAAAAGTCAAAAGTTACTGTAAGTTGTCACATCACTCTATCTAATCTTCTACACATCATTTTGTAAAAAGCTAAAAAGTTACTATAATAATCTGTTTCCAAACGATGCCTTAGATTAGCTTGGTGGTCAAAATTTCCGTCTTAAGTTAGTGAAATTTCATCAATTTTTTTTTTTTTAAAATTTACATTTATCATGGATCTTATTTTACAAATCTTGATGAAATAATTCCAGAAACATAAATTTTAAAAAAAAACAAAGATTTAGATAAAAAGTTATAGAATTTTGAACTTTTCAAATGAGCTAAAAAAGTATAGACAATACTTGAAGCGGTGTAGCGGAGATATTTTTATCACCGTGTATTTTGGAGGGTCTATATTAATATAGAAAATTGCACTATACTTATCCTTCTGAAAAAATATTATCAAAGACTTAAACAAAAAAATCCAAATAATTTAATACAAATTTTAACATACCATTTTCTACCAGCCTCCTCAAAGAAAAATTATATTGAAGCTAATAAATTTAATATAATTATGTTAAATTCTTTTAAAATAAATTTATTAAAAAATTCTCTTTTACATACGTAGTTTATAAGATATTCTTATATTCTAATAAATCTTATTATTATAGATATATAATTTATTAAATTCTAATTCTCATATTTAAAATATTTAATAGACAATTTTATCCTTAAATATTTTTTGAACCCTTAGTAACTTGGTGATATGAATATTCAAATTAAATAAATTTAACAATATAAATGTTCACATTATGGAATATTCACACAGTCAACGTGAATATTAATGTGCGCTTTACTATATTATTGTTAAGGATATTTTGGTAATTATGTTACGAATAAGACTTATTGAAATATAAGAAAATAATTTGAATTAAGTGAAATATAAGTAGGTGAAGAGAGATTTTTGAATAAATATATATTTTTTTATTGTGTTTAGATCTTTAATTTTAGGAGAGATTTAAAATATAAATAAAAAATATGAAAATGATGTGAATAAAATATAAATTAATTTTTATAAAATAAATTTTTGTTAAATTTGATAAAATTTTAATACCGATGATATACGGTTACGTTTGGTTTAGTTTGGAAATTGTGATACTCTTTTTGGAGTTGTGATTTGAGTGTGGAATTGTTAGTTAAGTTATGAAAAGAGAAAATTTGTTTGGTTATGGGTTTTGAAAGAAATTTTGAAAAGAGTTTTTGAATTTTGAATTTTGAAAAGAGTTTTGTGTATTGAAAAGAGTTTTGAATTGTATTTTGAGTTTTTTGGATTTATTTTTTTAAATATTAAAAAATGTATAAGAAAATTTTATTTTTTATTTTTAATATATAATTTTTATTTAAATATTTTATTTTATTTGTAAATATATTAATTTTTAATTTTAATATCATAAATGTATGAAATATAGTGCACATTAAAATAAATAAATAAATATTTAAAATATAAAATATTTACCTTAAGAAAATAAATTAAGAAAATTTTTAAATATTAAAAAAATAAATCCAAAAAAATTAAAAATACAACTCAAAACTCAAAATATAACTCAATACTCTTTTTCAAACTCATAACTAAACAAATTTTCTCTTTTCAAAACTCATAATTCAAAATACAACTCCACACTCAAATCATGATTTTAAAAATAATTTTAAAAAATAAAATAAAAAACTATTTTTTGAATTTTTTCTTTTAAAATAGAGTTATGAAAAGAATTTAGTTTTGGGTGTTGAAAAAAGTTTTAAATTGAGTTTTGAACTGTGTATTTAATTATGAGTTTTGAAATTAATTTTTGAATTAATTTTGAGTCATTTTGAATTGTGTGTTTATTTATAAATTTTGAGAAATGATTTAAAAATTTTGTCTTTAGAATCATAATTTTAAAGGCAAACCAAACACTGCCTAAGTAACTCATTGGGAAGTGTGTTTCTCTTCGGTCTTTTCTTTCTTTGATTCTTTCTTTATTTTGTTTTGTCTTTTTATTATTATTTTTGACACCAACAAGATAGAAAAAAGTCAAAAGCTAATTTAGGCCGAGTTTAAAATATGTTATTTTAATATTTTTTTTAATTTTTTAGTTAAAATAAAAGGTAAAAAAATAATAATAGTCTTTTTTTGAACAATCTAACTCTTTTTGGTGATAGAATTATTGCACTTTAAAAAAATTAATTTTTCAAAATTACCCTTTGATAGTACATTTTTTTAGAGAATATCAATGTCATAATTGTACTTTTTATGTTGTTAATGAATTTAAAAGAAAAACAAAATAGAAAATTTATATTATTTTTATACTTAATTTTTAAAAAATGACTAATATTTTGGGACGGATGGAGTAATATGTTTAGAATGATTTTTTAATTTTTTACGAAAAGATATAAAAAAATAGAGACAAAAGAAAATCTTTAACTTTTTGATATAATTTCTAATTTTTTAATAACTTTTTTACTTTTAAATTAAAATAAACACATGTCAAATGAAGCCTTATTGAAGCAAAAATTTATTTGAGAAGCGTAAAATAAGCTAATAAAAATATCTTTATCAATATGATATTGATAAAAAAAACATTAATAATATAGGAAGGTAATATGGTAAGTTTACAAATTTTTAAATGATGTGACGTTATATAATAATAATTTTAAAAAAAATAAAAAAAATATTTATTATACTTCTTAAATAATTTTGTAAATAAATCAAAAATAAAAATAATAAATCAAAAAGATTGTTTGTTTCTATCTTCCCCAAATAATTGTAAGGCGGTGGATTATTAATGGTGTGCAGCAGGAGCAATGTTAAAATCAAGGAAGATAGAAATCGACCTCTCACGAATAAATGTGACTTTCTCTATTGTTTTCTAAACTAATTCAGCACTTAACATAGGTGCGTCATCACCTCAATTCAATACACTGAAGATCTACAAGGTCGGTTATACAATGCCTCAAAATGTATCATTTCAATACTTGCCTAAAAATTATTATTATAAGCAAACTCTACTAGAGGCAAATGCCTCTCTCAAGACCCCTTAAAATCGAGAACGCAAGCCCGACGCATGTCCTCTAAAATCTGAAAGATGGGCTTGGATTGCCTGTCAGTCTGAGGGTGATAAGTGGTACTAAAAGTCAACTTAGTACTCAAGTCACTCTGTAGGTTTTGCCATCACCAATCAGACGGATCCTTATTTGAGACGATTGTCATCGGGACCCAGTGAAGTGGCACTATATCTCTAATATACGAATTGGCAAGGTAATTTACCAAGTCACTCGTGCGTATAGGTATAAACACAGCATCATTACTTCGTTGAGTCCTTGGAAGACCCATAACAAAATTCATCGTGACATGCTCCTACTTTCACTCGGCTATAGGTAAGGATTATAACAAACCCGCTGGTCGCTGGTACTCAGCATTCACTTGTTGACAAGTAAGGCTCCTCGAAACGAGTAAGGCTATACCTCTCTTCATTCCTCTCCACCAAAACTAGCGGCAAAAGTCGTGATACATTTTTGTGCCTCGCAGGTATACCGCATGGCGTAAATGGTGGAACTTTCGGAGTACCTCCTCTCTACAAGACTCTAGCACAAAAAGGCAGTATAGACTCTAGCACAAAAAAGCTGTCTAGATACCTCACACTCAAATCCGAATAAACATTCAAGCCCTTTTTCTACCTTTCCACTGGAGATCTTCTCTCGGATAGCCTCTACGTTGCGATCATTCTGTTGCGTCTCTATAACGCAGCTAACTAAAGTAGCTTTTGCAACTACAGTAAATAGAGTAGCTAACTCAACGGACTCGTCAAGGTGCAAGTCAAACTCACCAATAGCGTCCAACATCTTCCATTCCCGGATGGCGATTCTAGCTACACTACTTACAGACTTCCTACTTAAAGCATCAGCCACTAGGTTGGCCTTCTCCAGATGATAGTGTAACTCAAAGTCATAGTTCTCCATAAACTTCATCCACCTCATCTGTCTCAATTTTCTATAATCAATGCACAACCGCTGTAACAACCCCGATCTGTGGTCAGCTCATGATCCTTGATTAAGACTGCTTAATACATAATTAAGATGAAATTCTATTTAATTGCATGTGTTATATGCTATTTTCATTTATATCTTTCTGTTGTCGAAATATATGTCTGTGTTTCTGTTTCATTATGCGAATTGAAGGCCTTATCAGCATCTGATCACGAAATTGACTTGGTATATATGTTATTTAGAATTTTTAGAAAATTTTTGTAGGTTTAATTGGAATTTGATTCGGAACCAAATAATTAGAATAAATTAATTTGGACTAATCACACTTACTTAGCTTAATCCTAACTAAGCCTATATAAGGCTAATAGTTGGCCTGAAACTTTTAGATTCATCTTTTTCATCCTCCTTGAGACAAAAACGTGAGGGAGAAGAGAGAGAGTGAAGAGAAGGTTGTAATCAAGAGAGAAAAAGGGAGAATTGGAAGGAAATTGGAAGTTGGCCTTCTAGCTTAAAGAATTGGACATCTAGAGCACAATTGAGCCTTCAAGGTAAGAATCCAACCTAAGGACTAAGTGTTTAAGTCATCAAGAGCATGAATACAAGACAATTAAGTTGATTAATACATGAATTGAGCTTAAGAGGGTAGAAAAGAAGAACAATCATGCATGCATGCATAATTCTCAAAGTTTTGAAGTTGTTTTCAAAGAATTTCCACATGCATGTTTATTTTCGGCCTTGGTTTGAGAATTTAGCATGTTTTTTAACTAAACATCTCATTTGATCATGATTTGGAGGCTTTGAATTCAATTTGTTACATGCATGTTATGATCTCTAATTTTCAAGTTTTGTTTTGTGCAATTGGCAAAGCGTTTGGGCTTGATTTTGCGAAATGGTTTCTAATTCATCATGTACTATGAGTTTCTCAATGTTTTACTAAGTTTTTGGCCCAAAAGGATGTGCTTTGAAGGTTTAAAATTGAGTTTTGAAGCTGGGAGTACAATCTGAAAATTTCAGAATTTGTACTTTTCGCTCGAGCGATAGAGTCTACGCTCGAGTGAAGAATGCGAGCTCCTAGTACTTTTGCAGAGTTTGGGGGTTGGCTCGAGCGGCAAAACCTGCGCTCGAGCAACCACCCTTACTTTTGATCCACCGCTCGAGTGTAGGGCATTGCGCTCGAGCGTAAAATGAGAGCTCTTAGTAGTTTTGCACAGTCTTTCAAACCGCTCGAGTAACCGGAGTTGCCCCCAGCGGAGACCCTGTTTACTCAGTCTTTGGCTCAAGTGAATATCGAGTGTCCGTTGAGTGTAAAAATGAAGCAACCAGTACTTTTGCAGACTTTACAGACCGCTTGAGTGACCGAAGTTGTGCTCGAGCAGACTGTCCTGTTTTTGAAAATTTGACTAAGTGTTTCAAAGTACATTTTGGCATCCTTATTGCATCTTAGGCATTCCTAAACCCTAATTAAGACATAATAATGAGGACAAGGATTAGAAACACACCAAGATAGAAAATAAATGAGTTAAGCATTTTTCGAGCGTGTGTTTCATTGTGTCTCTACTATGTGTTTGTGTAGGTCACGCGCAATAGATTGTCTAATTCGTCTGCTTTATCTGTTCTGCTATTGGAGCCATCTGTGAGTAATAACTTTATAAAGTTATGTTTAACTTTAATTATTTTTTGAATGATATGAAATGATCTGTTTTCTGAAACACTATTTTCTGTATGGATGTATGATTGTCCAGATTTCTGAAATGTATTTGCGGCATCCTTAGTATCATGTGATATTTGTTATCTGCTCTGTATACATCTCATGTAATCACGAGTCAACTGTACGTCCCATGTGATCATGGGTCAACTGTTATGGATCCTTATGAACGTCTCTATACACATGAGTCAACTGTTTACGTCCTATTTAAATAGGTCAAGTATTCTGTTAGCACTAATGGATGTACCATATATGACTATTTGTGAAATCTGTTTCTGAATCTGAATCTGTTTCTGAATCTGAATTCTGATTATTGAATCTGTTATGGACAACATTCATCAAAACCTTTACTTTGTTATTATTCGTGTGACCAAGCTTAGAGATGATTGCCTGGAGATCTGTTCTGTCAGCCAGCCACTGTGCCTCCTGAGGAGGTTCCCATTTTGAAGTGGTCAAGTGTTTATGAATCAAGTTTTTTGAGACTTTTGTATTTCTTATGTTTGTCTGAACAAGTTTTTTGTAAGTTCTGTATATGTGGGATTTGGTGACGTAAGAAAAATTTAAGGGCTAAGAAAAATTCAAGTTTTTTGTAAGTTCTGTATATGTGGGATTTGGGATTTAATTCTCATAACAAAATAAGAATTAAAAATTTAAATTTTCAACACTGCTACGGAGCTCGAAAAATCAAAGGCTCGAATGGCTCGAAATCTCAAAACGATGTCACTAGCCGGTTACGATGCTAAACCTATAGAGGCAGGTTTAGGTCGTGATATAGTGGTATTAGAGCACATGTTATACCGCATACACGAGTCTATATGAGCTATAGAATGGCCTAGAAAAGAATTATGGACATTACATCTGCATGTGTGAGTGTGTGACATCATGTGAACATGTCTGAACCAATCTGAATTCTGATTACTGAAACTGTTATGGACAACATTCATCAAAACCTTTACTTTGTTATTATTCGTGTGACCAAGCTTAGAGATGATTACCTGGAGATCTGTTCTGTCAGCCAGCCACTGTGCCTCTTGAGGAGGTTCCCATTTTGAAGTGGTCAAGTGTTTATGAATCAAGTTTTTTGAGACTTTTGTATTTCTTATGTTTGTCTGAACAAGTTTTTTGTAAGTTCTGTATATGTGGGATTTGGTGACGTAAGACTAATGTAAATATGACGTCACTCAAATGTATATAAAGTTTTAAACTTTCTGTTCCATGTATGTCTACACAACTCTATGGATATTATATGTTTGTATTTTCTTCCACTAGCCCCTTTATTTTCGCTTAATTTGTTCAGAGGCCTTCGGTAATCCCATGATTACTAGTCGGTTACGATGCTAAACCTATAGAGGCAGGTTTGGGTCGTGATATAGTGGTATTAGAGCACATGTTATACCACACACACGAGTCCATATGAGCTATAGAATGGCTTAGAAAAGAATTATGGACATTACATCTGCATGTGTGAGTGTGTGACATCATGTGAACATGTCTGAACCAATATGAAATGACTCTGGAATGAAATGAACTAAACTAAACATTGTGGAAAGAATTATTTGCCTATATTTATTAGTGCTCTATTTACCTATAGCAAATGGAGAATACAAGAAGTAATGATGCAACTGAATCCTCTGAGACTTGCATGAGCCGAATAGAACAAATGCTTGAAGCCTTAACAGAATCAATGAGACAACAACAAAGACAACAACCTCTGCCTTCTTCGCCCCCTCCGGTCCAAGAAGAACAGATAAACACTGACATTATCTCATTGACTAAAAAATTTACAAAGATGAAGTCGCCAGCTTTTCTGGGTGGAATTGAACCATTGAAGGCCGAGACATGGATGCTTGAGATGGAAAACTTATTTGAAGTCTTTTTCTGTACCGAGATTCAAAAGGTTTTGTTGGCAACCTACACTCTAAAAGAAGAGGCTAGGCGGTGGTAGATGTTAATTTGCAATGACAACAGCACTATGACATGGAGCCAATTCAAGGAAATATTCTATGAAAAATATTTCCCTCAATGCTTCCTGGATAGAAAAGTGTCTGAATTCCAAGAACTCAAGCAAGACAATATGTCAATAACAGAGTATGAAGCCAAGTTCACCGAATTGGCCCAGTTTGTTCCATACATATTGGATACCGATTACAAAAAGGCTCAAAAATTTAAAGGAGGCCTGACTTTAGACGTGTTTGATTGGGTTAGTGTGTTAAAACTATCCAAATATGTGGATGTTCTTGATAGAGCTCTAATGGCCGAAGCCAACCTAGCTACTATGAAACAAGCTAAAGCTCCAATACCTGAATGGAAAGGCAAATGATCTAGATTCAACTCTAGAAAGGGTCGTTCATTTCCTATGAAGAAGCAAAATACGCGATCTACTAGCAGTTCCAGTCAAAGTAGTGGGTCTATACCTGTTTGTGCTAATTGTGGAAGAAAACTTAGGGATGTGTGTCATCGTGTATTGGGTGCTTGTTTTCGGTGTGACAGACTTGGCCACGTGGTGAAAGACTATCAATTCGTATTGAAAAACACCAATTGTCTTGTAGAAAGTTCGGCCGGATCCGGTTCTGCACCGAGATCAAATGTGAGAACCAATATTGGGAAAGAAACTTTAAGGCAAGGTCGAATATTTGCACTTGTGCCTAGTGATGTGCAGAATACCGAATCTGTGGTGTCAGTTATACTCCCTATTTATGCCCAAAATGCATATGTTTTGATAGATTCTGAATCTACACACTCGTTTGTGTCGCATGCTTTTTTTTACAGAAATTGACTAGATTTGTAGAATCCATGAATTATTTGTTATCTGTGTCTACATCTTCTGGAGGTTCTATGATGTGTGCATACGTATATCCTGTGTGTGACATTATGATTGGTGATGTACTATTATATGTTGACTTGACGCCTGTGGCTATTGCTCATTTTGACTGTATATTGGGAATGGATTGGTTGACCAAGTATTATGCCACTACTGATTGTGTGACTAAATCTGTTGCATTCCAGCCACCTGGGACGCCTAAGTTTGTGTTTTGTGAAAGTGGTGTAGTTCCTCCTCCGTATTTGATCTCTTCTATGAAGGCCAATAAACTGTTGAGAAAGGGTTGTCGGGGTTATTTGTGTTGTGTATTGACTGTGCCCACGAATAACACTAACGTAGAGAACATCCCTATAGTCAATGAATTTCCCTATGTATTTCTAAATGAACTACCCGGTGATCTGATTGATAAAGAAATTGAGTTTACCATTGAGGTATTACTTGGAACCAACTAATTTCTAAAACCTCATACCGAATGTCAACCTCTAAGCTAAAAGAATTGAAAATCCAAATGCAAGAATTGTTAGATATGAAATTCATTCGCCCGAATACTTCACCATGGGGTGCTCCAGTCTTGTTTGTTAAAAATAAAAATGGGTCTTTGAGGCTATGTATTGGCTATTGGGAATTGAACAAGGTAACCGTCAAGAATAAATATCCATTACCCTGAATAGATGATTTATTTGATCAACTTCAGGGAGACCAAATGTCTTCAAAGATAGATCTTAGATCCGGGACCATCCGTTGAAGGTTAAAGTCGAAGACACAGAGAAAACTACCTTTCGAACTAGATGTGGACATTATGAATTCTTAGAAATTCCATTTGGGATAATGAACGCACCTGCTGCCTTCATGGGCCCAATGAATATGGTGTTTAAGCCATATCTTGATGAATTTGTTGTTGTGTTTATTGATGATATTTTGATTTTCTCCAAAGGCAGGGAAGATCAAAAAAATCATTTGAGAACTGTGCTACAAATATTGAGAGAAAAGAAATTGTATGCAAAACACTCCAAATGTGAATTCTGGATAGACAATGTGATATTTCTGGGGCATGTGATCAACACAGATGGCATATCCGTTGATCCATAGAAAATTGAAGCCATTGTGAACTGGCCGAAACCGACAAATCTGTCAGAAGTTAGGAGTTTTCTCGGACTCGCTAGCTATTACTGCATATTTGTGAAAGATTTCTCCAAACTTGCGATGCCACTGACACAGTTGACACAAAAAAATGTACCGTTTGATTGGAATGATTAGAGGGAATTCGTTTTCCTAGAATTGAAGACTAGACTGGTGACTACACTAATTCTGATTCTACCTAATAGTACGGATGGGTTTCAGATTTACAGTGATGCTTCATACGAAGGCTTAGGGTGTGTATTAATGCAGGATAGAAAAGTAATTGCATATGTTTCACGGCAACTTCATTTACATGAGAAGAATTATTCAACCCATGACCTGAAACTTGCAACTGTAGTGTTTGCTTTAAAATTTTGGCGCCATTATCTGTATGGAACAACTTGTGAGGTGTACATAGATCACCAAAACCTAAAATACTTCTTCACACAGAAAGAACTGAACATGAGACAAAGAAAATGGCTTGAATTAATTAAAGATTATGATTTACAAATTTTGTATCATCCGAGAAAAGTGAATATAGTTGTAGATGCTTTGAGTCAAAAATCCCTTGGAAATTTGTCGTGTTTGCTCACTGACCAGAAAGAGTTGTTATATGATCTGGAAATAAATGAAATTAAGATTGCTTTGCGTGAGCAGGGTGGAATTCTAGTTGCCATTTCTGCACAACCAGCTATACTCAAAGAAGTTAAAGAAAAGCAACTACAGGATGAGTTTCTGAAGAAGATTGCTGATGAGATTGGTTCAAAACTGAGACCTGGATTTGTGTCCGAAGACAATGTCCTGAAATTTCAAGGAAGACTTTGTGTACTAGATTGTTCAGAATTAAGAAAATGTGTTATGACAAACGCTCATAATTCCAAATTTGTTATGCATCCGGGAAACATGAAAATGTACAAAGATTTGAAATAGAATTTCTGATGGCTTGGCATGAAGAAGTGTATTGCGGACTTTGTAGCTAGATGTTTGCATTGCAAACAAGCAAAAGTTGAACATCAATGACCCGCTGAATTACTTCAGCCGCTTCCAATACTGGAATGGAAATGGGAGCACATTACGATGGACTTTATTGTTGGACTACCTCGCTCCTTCTGAGGTATAGATTCTATTTGTGTCATTGTTGATCGTTTAACTAAGGTTGCTCACTTTTTGCCTGTGAAAACTTTTTATAATGCAGATAAATTGGCTAACTATAGACTGCCCGAACTCCGCTCCGCGCGCGAGGGCTTGAATCGTGGTTCTAGTTACTACAGTTCGGACTCCTGTCACTGTTCTAAATCTAATCTCACAAAGTGCAATATAAGACTGATAAATCACCAAAGAGTCAAAATCTGGCAATCAGTTTTAGAAAATCGATTTTAATTAGAAAGCGCCCAACATGGACTGCTTTGCCAGATTTCAGAATTGTCACCTAAATATTTTATTTTGAAAAATTTAGGAAACCCTGACTCGTGCCTAAGGCCACGTGTCCGTCATCACCAAAGTTGCCTCAGCTCTGGAACTTGGGTACGAGAGGGGAAGGTCCTGAAATGAGCACCCCTGCTCGCCCGATCAAAGGATCGGCCTCTACTAACATGATATGTTGTTTTTGAAAACACATGTGTTCTTATTCCGGTTTATTAACCTAGCTTACTATGTGATGCGCGCAGCATACAAGTATAGACTAAATCGCTCGATTTGGAACAAAACATCTCATGTTTGTTTTTTTTGAAAGTGGTTTGAAAGTGCTACTCGCAAGTAGGCTAAGACGTGGATTTGCCACCCTCAAGTGGGCTTAGAAAACAACATGATTTTGCCACTCCGCAAATTGGGCTTAAAATGCACATTTTGATGAATTGTTACAATTCAAGGAATGAAACTTTCATCCACAGGCATTCATGTAGTTAATCAATTAAGCAGTTAGCTTCATGGCAAGCATGCTATCATGGCAGCCACTCACACACATGTAAGAATGCTAAAGCATAAACACTCATAGTGTACTCCGAGCCAAAACAGAAGCTAGTTAGTAATCAATACATGATCCTAGCTTATGTTAAGATGCCTAATGCAACACATGCAAAAATGCAACTAAGATAGGCTCGGCTACCTAGAATGGCATATGAATGCAACTTGATAACATGTATTCAAATTGGCATTGAAATACAATGCAGTTTGTATGATGCGCCGAGCCCGGTGCATGCAAGACAAAATGAATGATGAACGCATGCAAGCATAAGTATACTAATTGAAATATGCCCTAAACTAACCATCGAAAGCAGTTAAGTAAAAGGGAGAAAGACGTGGGGTTGGAAGACATGCATTACACACACACGCTTATTACAAAATTCGCCCTCTCGACGGAGAGTCCGAATAATAAGATAAGCTACACTAAGCTAAGCTAATTAATTATTACAACACAAATGAATTTGAACAACTAGCTAATCTAAGCTAATTAAGTACAAACCAAATTAATTAATTAAACACTTAACTAATTAATTACAAAACAACTAAGCTAATGAACTAGTTTAGCTAAGTATTTTAAACAAATGGCCTCAGGAAACGAGGGAGATATGCATGCTTGGTCGGCTTCGCTCGGAAATCCACTACCGTGCCTCTAATGCCTCTGTTTGCACACTTCTGTATTTCTGAAAATTGTGCCAACTTCCAAGATGCTTCTGACCCACCTTATGACTATGCTGAGGGGTGGTCGGCCAAAAAGAATGGCCATTGGCCAATTTTGATAGCCGATCGGCAGACTTGGTGGCCGGTCGGCCACTGCTTCTTGCAATTTCTCCTTTTTGCTGTAACAGAACACAAACAGAGGCATGGCAGTGTATTTGCAAGGTATGTGTGCAAAACCACCCTCTCTATCATGTCTCATGCTCAAGGGAGTGCGGTACTCGACCCTCGGGCCATCAATCACGCATCTCAATGCATGATGGCCAAAGAAGCCAAGTTTGCACAATTCAATGTGAATGAATGCACAAATAACACTTAAGGGCCTTAACCTCTATCATGCATGATAAAGAGGGTCGGCAACCGAGAAATGAGGCACGTTCCATCACTTCAAGTATAAAACGTCACTCGTTTCTCGTGTTTAGATTAACACCCTATCCAAACACAATGCAATGTAACATGATCAACTTATCAATGCTAATGGCATGCAAACAAAATGCAATGCGTGCACATGCAAACAACATGCAAACACAATGCAATACAACAACATGCAAACAACATGTTGTTTTACCAATGCTAGGATGGCATGCCCAAGATTCTATCATGCAAACAATGCATGCATGGCAAGTATATAAGCTTAAGACATCAAAGCTAGGAAAGAGCATCTCACAAGAGGCATACAAAACAATGCTTAATGGACTTAAACC